TTTTTTTTTTTTTATCTCCACATTTGCAATTGCTGATGAATGCCCATGATCATTTTTTCCGTGTATATCATCAGCTTTTCTCTTATAGTCATTTACTGGACAAAGAACTATAAACATTTACTTTATGTAGTCCTGTTAAAGTGGGCATTTGTGAGCATCTTTGATGAGGTATTGGCATGTTAATTGCGAACTTCAAAAGCATATCTGTTGAAAAGATGGTTGAGCTTCAACCTCAGAGGTGGTCTCCAGTCAATCTGTACTTTAGACTGCTCAACAATGCTTCCCATGTAAATTATCCTAAAACATGGAAAACTTTATAGTTCTGATATTGAAAGTTAGTGGATTGCTGAGTTGAGCCTTGGTATGAATGGAGTGAGCGGGTCTGCTTGCCAGCGAGCCATCTCTAACATCATGACAATATGTGATTGATTTCATGTGAAAGAAGCATGACCTCATTTTAATGGTGTGTTTGGCCGGGCATGATGAGCTTTGATATACTCCCTCTGTTCATGTGGCAGTGATCATAGCATTTTGTTGGCACTGCTCAGATTTGAAAATCGGCTGAAGCCCGGTTATTCGCACCCGATACATATCAGCCATTTACTACTTTTTTGTTGCATTACAATTTTACTCTCATTTTAAAAAGAAATCCTTGTATCGAGCCTCACAGATGAAAATTACTAAAAGGCAGCAGGTAGATGGTCACGAGTGGGACATCAAAAGTCGTAGAGATCCGAGAACTTTGTCATTGTCATGTTTATCAATAACATTGAGAAACTCTAAATTTGTTGGTTCCAATTTCATAGTAGTATACTCTGACTGAGATGAGCACAACACGAGATCAAAGAGAAGGCTGTCAGTCAGGTTGCCCTCATGATTTTTCATTCTATTGTTAGGGCAAAGGAGATCAAAGAGAACTGTCAAGATTTGGCCTGTCAGTCCAGCTGCGCTCATGATTTTTCATTATAATGCTAGGGCAAAGGTGATTAAATGAAACACAAAATTTAGTCCCTTGAAAGATGATAAAAACACTCGAGATCAAACGCGACAAATAGAAACATTACCAGCACTACCTGTACATAAAACTGGGTTGAAAAAAAAAATAAAATTAATGTGTAGTTACAAACAAATGACTCCTTCCAACAATCCTTGTACATCCTGTTCCTGTATCCATTCACCATCTATGTTACATACAAAGCACAAAACTCGGTTCACCAATTTCCGCCATCCACACTCCACAGACATTAGTCTTTCATGATCTCCCATAACATCAACAATATAAAAAAAATTATCTGTTACGGAAAAAACTGAGATCCCAACGGCGTAATAATCCATCCATCATGCTTGTCTGATTCTTCTCAACTTTTACGGTGACTGTCGTTTGGTCCGCCACATCAGCCTGGTTAGGCAGCTGCTTATTCTTATCATCACCGGATGTCTTTACTGCCTCATTTGTTTCTCCACCTGAATCTGAATAATGTGGCTGCTTTACAAATACAATGAAGGGCTCCTTTGGATTATTACTGTTTGTGTCTATATGCATTGATGGGTCACTAGGAACACAAGTTTGTTTCGCATCACTTTCCAGATTCTTGGACGCTGGTTTACTATTCTCTTCAGCTGCTGACATGGAAGCTGGCTCGGGTTTTGCGGAGTCGACTTGAAGGACGGAATTGATTGGTGATAGTTTGGGTTCAGGTTTATCACCACCGATGGATAATAGTTCTTCAACTGGAGGGCTTTTCGTTTTCATGTCCTTAAGGGACTCGAGCACAGCCACCATCAGCATCTGAGAATTTAGAAGATACTTGTGTCATCAAACCAATTTGTAATGATCAAAACCAATTAATGCTAGGGAAATATATTGACAAAACATATTTAGGATAATTTCCAAAATACATAACGAGTATTGACCTCATTCAAAATTATAAGGCCCCCTTTTTTTTTTTTTTTTNNNTTTTTTTTTTTTGAAAAATCACAAATACCCTTTGAGCCAGTGTTTGTTTGATAATGGAATGATAATTATAAAAAAAAATACTTGCCCTTTCTTCTTCTTCAACATTACTCGGGAAATCTGCCAAAGTATCAAGTGGGTACTCTACATATTCATCGTCATTTATTGATAGAGGCACATGAGAACCATGAGGATTGAGACCCGAGAGTTCAAAGCTAATCATATTAGACGATGATGCTTCAGAATCCGAACCCCGGCTATCCACCTGCACGATAAAATTGGTCTTTAAGGACTCGATCATACTCCTCAACGGCATCTTTGAAAGAGGAATTTGTAACTTCCGTATATATGCAAGTCATATCTTTAAACAACTCTGGCAAAATTTCCTTGCTTCAACAGGCACGCCCAAAGAAATGAGCAAAGCACAGGCAAAAAGAGATGAACATAGCAGCTACATATAATGCATAAGACATTATTCCCACCCAAATTAAAAATTAAGATAATGAGATATAAATAAGTGAAGAAGAATAAAAAAACAGTCGCTGAAATTATGTTGGCTAAAATTTCTGGGGTACCTGCACATCAGGCTGTTTGTCTTTTGATGAAATATCTGAAGGAACCTGAATAATAAAATACATGGAATTTATTTAATTGGTGAAAAATATAACCACAAAATAATGTATCAACTTGTATAGCCTCTGGAAAGGAAGAAAGTAGAGAGAAGTTCCACTTTACTAGAAGTTTATTTCGTGGCATAAAAGTTTTACAAGATTTCATTAAAAAATCGATAATCAGCCTCCATCGGTAACAATGAAATGTTAAATTGATCATCTACATGATAGTTCAATTATCATTACCTCACTCAATATTCTAAAATGAGTTAAAATGCTATGAGCTATCCATAAGGTTTAGCCTAACCAAAAACATATAAGGAAAGAAACAGTAAACTACAAAATCGCCACTGAACTTTCTTCGGTACATTAAACAAAACCTAACGTACATGTAGAACATTACCCGGCCATTAATTTTTAAAGATAATTTAATTTTTCTGCAAGATAAAACCTAGTAATTTAGGATTCATCATTAAAAAAGAAAGAAAAGAAAAACCTAATCTTACCACCATCATACTCATAGGCCTTCTGGAGCGAAGTTTCCTGATAGCGTCCTCGGTGCTACTGCTAGTTTCCGGACCTGAGTTTGACAAAACACCCGTCCGTAATTGCAGTTTCAAAGATACGAGTTCAATCTACTGCAAAAGCATATGTGAATAAAACCCAAGACAAAAATAACCCACCAGTTGGTGAATCGAGCAAGTCATCTGAAATCTCCAACTCTTGGATATTACTCCAACTACCCTGCAACTTGTAGGCCGATAATGCTTTCTTAGAAACGGAAGTTACAAAAAGTAAAACAAGGTTTAATAACAAAATTTATATATCAGGTCGAGCCTGGTAGAAATAACAATACCCGTTTTAATTTCACAAATTACACACCCAACCGGCAGGTAGTTTCTATGCAATCCAAACCGCGATGTGCTATCCATAATACTTGTGCGGGAGTTCATTATTTTGAAATGCTCTTTCACTTTCAAATAGTATAAACCTTGTGTATTTTATGGTAATGTAGCGATAAGAAATTTACCTTGGGAACATAATGATGAGTTAAGTCAAAATATGCACTCCCTACTTCATCCTCTGGAGGGCGTAACACATTGTTGAAGAATATACTAATAGAATCAAAATAAAATTGAGGGCGGGGGGAGTTGTGGTCTCCCTCAAATTTGATTATATTCTTGTCACCCTGCAACATCATATGTCAATAAGTCCCATAAAAAAGTTCAAGGTAATTAATTATAATTTGACACCGGTCTATGGATTTACTCAAACTAAAACAAGCAAAGACAATAGATAACAATGGAATGGAAGTATAGAAGCACAAAGCACAATTAAAAAGAAATTACATGAAGACCAATTGGTAAACAAAATTTAAAAGATTATAGCATGATAGAATACCACATAAGCATCAAATATGCGATCAGAGTGGTGTGGTTGTATGAAATCATCATCAGTGGCATGGCCAAATAAAACTGGAACAAAGCAAGACTTTGCAACCTGAAAATTGTACAACTTATGATCACTAAAATGCATGAAAAATAAGAAATAAAATTGAACTTCCAGGTTAATTCCTCTTTTCTAGTAAATATGAGGTCACAAAATTCTGAGATTGCTATTTCAATTAAGTTTAAGGATACTATTTTATTAAAGAATATCTATAGGAAGCTAAGGAAGAATATATATCTCATAGGAAATAAACATTGTGTGTTAAGAGTATTTGATAGAAGAAATGACAATCCGAGATGATTGATAAGGCTGTGATACCTTGATAGCATTCAGATCCGTTATGTCAAATTTTGCCTTTTTCTGAATTGCTCTCCGCATATACTGGATAGCAAACTTAACCTACAAATAAATGGGCAAATTTGTTAAAAGGGGAAAAAAAAAAAGAAAAAAGAATTACAGTAAGTCCGTACAAATGGAAATGTGATGATTAAATATTATTTAAGATGAAATAAAGGAAAAGCATCATGACTTCTCTCTTCATAACACTGGCATACGCATTTCACGTCAAGCATGTAAACTATGATAAGGTGGTCAACTTACAGTGAATTTAGGAATGCGGACTTTGTAAGTATCAACAAGTTCCATCATCAAGTCAACCAAATCAGAGAAGGGGCTGTCCAACACCATTCCCGCTATTGAAGGATCATCAGCTCCGTACATCAAGCTGAAAGATAAAGCTTATTGAAAAATACTGAAGAAAATTGCAATTCATTGGAAAGTTCGCATGCACTTTTTCTCAAATAAATTGCACTCTGTGTGTGTGTGTGTGTGTCACAGATGTATCATAAATACACAATCAAATGGGCTATATTTTTTTATAGAACTTCCTTATTTATGAGGCAGTACATGAAAGCACATGACCAATAACTCCTTGCACATAAATGAAACAAATCCAAAAAGATAAGGTGTTCTACACGAAAAATGTTCATGGTTGTTTGAGTCATTGTCTTGTCTTTCACAAGAACTTAGTTTCTAACACAAAATAGAGATCAGTAGCTCACACTAATATAAAGAGGCAGAATGAAGACACTAAAAATCCTCCCCTCCCCTCAATCCAAGAAAAGAAGAAAATGAACAAACAAGAAGGAAAAGGAAAGACAACAGGGGAAGAAACAGAGACAGAAATGGAAATGCGCAAAAACTGTTTAAATATAGCGAAATGCCACAAGCAAAATAAATTGATCACGCTTATCTTAAAAAGGACAAAAAAACTCTGGAGTTGAATTACATGAGCAAGAAATCCAATTCACCCATATTGAGGCAACAATAGGAAAAACAAATCACTAACCTGGTAACAGCACCCATAGAGCGGCCCCACAAACCAATTAAGGAAATGTTCCCATCTGCACGAAGGTAATCAACGACAGCTTTCAGATCATCCTTCTGCAAAACCAACACCAAATCTCACAGTAAATGACAATTATTGTATACAAGTCGATTTAGATGAACCTTGTACCATTCGATGTACATTGCATGGTTCTCTAGCAAATAAAATCAGAAACAAAGAGACAACAATAAATAAAAATAAAATTCAAAACAAACAAACTTCAAACTAATTGATCTAAAATCACTTTGCATCTCCTCTATGGACTCCCTTATTTTTTTTTTTTTAGGTTCATGTTATTTCCAATGTAAAATATTATCTGATCACTAATAAATTGGCACTTTACTACTTCGTTTAATATGAGACATGGTATGACCATATGAGTTACTGAGTAAGCAAGCATACTTCATTCCAGCCCAGGGTGACATGCTCTCCTCCAGATAGTCCCGAGCCAGAGAAATCAAGGGTAAAAACGGTTATATTTGATGGCAGCAATATAATAGCAGCTTCACTAGCATCTGTTCGGCAACCGCTAAAAGGAGATCAAAGATAAGAGCTATTAAGTAATTGCAGATGACAATTTACATTTTTCCTTTACGTAACAGAAATTTCTGCATGCTCAAGAAAAACTATTTCCCAACCATATCTGCTCTCGAAGTATCCCACAAAGCTAGGATTTTGGCAAAACCAGACTGACACTACACATATTCCTTATATGTAAACCTTCGGTAAAAAATACTATATTCTTCGGAATGACACTTAGAATATTTAAAAGAAAAATAAAAAGAACCAATTCAGACATGTGTAGGTGCATAAGAGCAATCAACCAATATAAAAAGCACCACATAAATTACTCTCTCTCTCTCTCTCTCTCTCTCTCT